TGGAGCTTGCTCCTTTGGGGGGAGTTGGCTCCCATGGGCACCATTGGTGGTAGAAGTGGGATCTCAGGCAGAAAGGGCATGGCTGGAGGCTTGGCTCCCCCATCCCTAGGTTGACCCACAGCCCGTGGGCTGGACCAAAACGAAGAACCTGTTTAATGAACTTGTGCCCTCATCATTTGGTCCCAGGACACACGGCATAGCATAGACCTTTTACTAGGTTCAAGGAAGGAGAAAATACCCTTAATTAATAGCTATGGGCACTTATTATTCTCCAGAGATTAACTGCACCTCACATTGTGTTGCATCAGTGGTTTGAGTCTGCAAGTACATCTCAAAAAACAACCCTCTTATTTAGTCTCTAACATCCTGTGAAAAATGACAAGCAAACAATGTCACCACATTATCTAGCATATGTTGCCAGCAATATTAATAAGAATGCTTCAAGTACGAGTATACTTCGGATTGACCATAGTAGATCTCCTCAAAACACTGAAACAGTTCAACGGCTCTTCCTCTCTGGAGACCTACATGGATAGCCTGGGAGTTAGTGGGAAGTGAAAATAAGACTGGGGTTATTTGTTGCTATTGCCTGTGAAGGAGCAAGGGGAGATTTCCAGACAGCAAGTATAACCCACACATCCGCTGGGGTGTGGGTCACTGTGCCATGTAGCGGCATTGAGACCACTTACAGAGAGAGAGAATGGGTTTCTTCTGCAGCCTTAGCTGAGAGCCAGCTGGCTTTTAGCTCAAGTGGTTCATGCACTGAGCTCCAGAGGTCCCCGGTTTGGTTCCGCCTGTCGGCATTACACCACCACTTAACATACCCCATAGTTGTTTGGCTTCCTTCACTACAGCCTCTGCCAGTCTCATGTCTTCCATGCTGCCATTCACATAGTGAGCAGATGCGGCGCCCAGCTCCAGACACTGTGCGACAACCTGAGACAAACGCAACATTCAGAGAGGGGCTCCCCATCCATTTAGAGCAGGAGTATCCTTTGGAGTTTCAAGGGATACCTGGCTGCATGGACAGGGCGGTTAGGTTGTCCGACGTGGGTGCATAGAGTCAGATTCCTAGCTGGTGTGAATATGTGGACAGCAATGGAATTACACCATGCAGCCTTTTGGTCCTGGGCCTCTGCCTGAAAAAAGTTGGGTAAGCCCTAATTCTGCAAACATTTGGCTATAAAGTGTCACATTTTTCATGGTATTTTAGCAAATGGTTATTTTTGCACAGCCCTTGTATTAGCACCGGACACCGGAGACTCGGACATAGCAATCAGAGATTAGTAATTATATTGGTCACCTTTTCCTGTCAATATTTATGTAAGAAAATAACGTGCCCTCTACAGTTCTGTTTCTCGCTTAAAAATTTAAGTAACTAAAATTTTGAATGTTGGTAAAAATGACAAGGTTCTAATCAGCTCTTTGCACTAGTTTTTCCCAAGTAGCTATGTATAAACTATCGATCCTTCAATGCAATCCACTAATTAGTCTCTGCATGTACGCCAGGAGCGGGGCAGATAAGTCCCTTTGCAGAAGCGGGACTTGGAACAAGCATGGAGCTTTTACATTTAACAGTGTTTGACTGGAATAAACAGTAAGAACAAGTAACAAGAAGTGAGAAATCATTACTTTCTCAAAAGCTCGTAGCTCAAAAATGGCCTGTCCAAATAGACCTCTCAACTTTCAGTAACAGTTTCTTCTGGGCAAGAGACATGAAACTGGGGAAAAATTAATGAGCGGAAGGAAAAGGGACATAATTATGTCCAAACAAAATACAGGACTATGCAGCACTTTAAAGACTAACAAGATGGTTTATTAGATGATGAGTTTTCGTGGGCCAGACTCACTTCCTCAGATCAAATTGTGGAAGAAAATTGGCATGAGTGATCTTTGTCTTACGTTGCCAGCACCAGGGACACCAGATGAAGGTGTAAGAAACCTGGCAGTGGTCAGTGAAAAACAAACTTTGAATCGGCAGTGGGTGGCAATTGGAAAATAGGCTTCTGTTGGAAAATATGGTATCACCGTCATTGAGACGTGACTGCATCTGCACAAGCTGGGTATGAGTCTGAGCATGTGAACCTCTTTAATCAGGTATCCCCGTCCACGCAATGTATCTGTCGTCCTGGGAGCTAAGTGCAACGGGAGTGTTCGGCCAGTGTTTCCCAAGTGGGGTTCTGTGAAGTGAAACTCTGGGTTCCGTGAGAAAATTCGACTCCCCGGCCCTCTGCAGAGCCCGTAGGCAGCTCTTGTTGGAGCTGTGCTGGTGGGGGCGGGCTTCTGTCGGCGTGCCTCTCTGGCCGCTGCACCACCCACAGCGGCTGCTCCGCCACCACGCGGCCCCCTCCTCACCCCGCAGGACTGCCCCATCCCATGGAGCCTCCAGTGCCACACAGCCTCCTCCTCCTCGTACACAGGCGGCGGCTTGTTACAGTGGCCGCTGCTTCCGGGAGGGGAGGGGTGGCCAGGTCCAAGGTGCCAAGTAGCCGCTCCCGGACCTCGGCATTTCTAAACTGCTGCCTGCACCACGGCAGGGGCCGTGCAAAACTCAGCTGGGGCTCTGCTCCCCCCCCATCAGGGCATGCTCAGGCTCGCTGCCCCCCATGCGCTGCCACTCTCTCTTCCCCGTGCAACTTCCCACCCTGCTGGGGAAGCGGCAGAGTCTGGTCTAGAGGGGAAGGTCGGGGTTTCTACCCCCCCCACCGCCGCCCTGCCAGCGGGAAGCCTGACCTGGTGCTGCAGCTGCGCTGAGATCCCCGCTGCATGCGGGGGTACGGGGGATGACTGAGCTCCCTCTCCCGCCCCCCCTGCTGGGGGAACAAGAGCGTGCTGCCTGGAGGCTTCCCCTGCTGCAGCGGGATGCCAAGCCAGGCAAGTGTCCCCCCTCAGGCCCAGACCCCACACCCAAACCTGCTCACTTGCTCCCCTCCTCTGCCAATTCCCTGTTTGCTCTGACATCCTGATCCACATAGAAGACTGTTCTTAGGGGTGCCGCAAAATTCATTTGCATTTAAAAGGGTTCCGTGGCCAAATACAATTGGGAAGCACTGGCTAGCCATTTACTTTCTGAAGCTTGGCTTCTGTCCGGGCTGTGACCAGAACGTGAGCTCCCATCTGTGCCAGGTGATAAGCCATCTGCTCTCCAATTCCACTGCTGGCGCCAGTGATGATCACTCGCTTTCCTCTCAGCATCTCTGCAGAGTAGCGCATGGCAAATGTTACTTGCCCCACTAACCTCATGCACAAAAACACTTGCGCCCAAAAGACTAGTGAAACCAATTATTCCTGACCCAAACCATACAAGTACAGCCTCAGTTCCACCCGTCCTCTTCCTCTCAGATCTTGTCTACACTTGAGTGTCTACAACTAAAGCAAGCTAAAACCAAACTCGGACAACTACACACTCTAATCACCTAAAATCGGGGCTCCGAAAGCATTTAAAGTTTGGATCTAGAACTCACAACTGATCTTTGTTGCTCCAATGAGGCAAGCGTAGCCCCCAAACCCATTTCCTCAGCTAGTGTACATCAGTATGGCTCCATTGTCCGCAGCTGAATTCTGTGGCTGAGTCCCATCGTGAATTTGAAAATGAGGCATGTTAGATTTCATGGTGCTAAACTCTGCATGCACTGGATTCTAAGTTCGACTTTGTTGATTACAAATATCTTGCCTTAGAAACTTCTGCCCCAAATAAATCCCCTCTATTCAACTGCAAACTAGAATACGCCTGCCCTTTTCTACTACCGATTGAACCCCTCTAATCCAGAACTTCCTGGTCCAGAAAATTCCGCCATCCAGAATGAGTTTAGTTAGCCAGATGTCCACTTTTCATGGGTGTGGCCAAGTTTCCATGAAGTTTGTTTACAGCCAACAGTCCCAGCTCTCAAAATTCTGTGCTACTTAGCTCTAATTTACTTCTAAATGCCCTCTAACAGCCAAGTAAGCAGTGAAAGTGTTGGTCATGCTGCTAGATAATATTGACCTCCCATAGTTTGGCAAATTCTCCTGTTTGAAACTGGTCCGGTCCCGAGGGTGCCGGACTAGAGAAGTTCAACGTGTATTACATAACTTGCAATGTTCTGCTAGAGAAAACAATATCATTTCAGGTGACATTCTCGGACATGCTTCATTTCAAAAGTCTACAGTCAGGAATTTGAAAGAGAACTGCAGCATTACCTCAGTGCAGATCCACTGGTTTTAAAGGACATTGGCTTGAATCCCTTACCTGGTTTAAAATCTTCCTTTGAATAAAAATAGACGGCCAAGAATAATCCCACGAGCGGAAGAAGAATCTTTAGCAACAGCCCCATCCTCCTGCAGAAAAACAAGCGTAAGAGATGAACACTGCAGGTCCCAGCACCACAGAAGCAGAGATGTATGAATATTTTGAAGCATAGGGAGCAAGTAAAGGCAGCTCTGAAAACAAACCTACACTGGCAGCTCACAGCGCTGTAACTTTCTGGCTCAGGGGTGTGGAAGCCCTCCTCCCAGCACAAGACGTTACAGGGCTTATAAAGCGCCAATGTGAACCAGGTTAAGGGTAGACAAAACCTTTAGCCTTGGTTTACTTTTTCTCCAGGTTAACAATTATTAACCTTTAAACAACAGTGTCCTTTGGGACCTCCTATTCCTTACTGCCTCTGTTCTTGCCATGGGCTGCCGTAGTGTCCTCTGAGCATGCTGAAGGAAGGATATCCTTTCTCTAAAAAGAACCAGCCTCTGAGAAAAAAGGGGTGGGTTTGTGAAGTTTGGTTCAGGACAATTGAATTCATATACTGGCTCTCACAGACACTTTTTCAAGCAGGCGCTTAATCTCAACCTGCCTTGGTTTCCCTGTCTGTATAATGGGGATGATACTTCCCGACCTCTTGGGGGTCTTGTGTCCAGTATTTGTGGCCCCTGTCTGGTTTTAAAACAAACAAAAAACAAAATATGTAAAACGTCCGGTATTTTCTGTTTTTCTTGGATGTAAGGCCAGTGGGGAGATGTAATGGCACAGTGACCTTTTTTTTTTTCCTCAACGAGTTTGGTTTCCCCGCCATGTTTGGGATTTTTTGTGAAAGTATCTGACAACCCTATTAACAATTAGGAAGTGCTCAAATGAGGACCATCTAAGAATCTCGACCAAACTTTTTAGTGTTTGTAGTACAAACTATGCAGGATTCTGTTATACAACCACTTATTTGTACAATACCCACCACATGCTAGATCATTTATACTTATACAAGAACACAGACTGTATGTTAAGGAGCATACATAGATGACACAGACATGCAGGGAAGGATTCACTGAAAAACAATGGACAAGCAGTCACACGAGATGTGTCTTGTAGCTATTTTTCTCCCTTATTAGAAAGGGGGTGTGTGTGGAAACGCTTCCCTGGGGAAATAGGGATTCGGAGAAGGTTTTCATAAGGAGGAGTGTAAAGGTGAAGAGGAGGAAGTTCTGGTGGACTGGATTGGGGTTGGAGGTTGTAAGGTTAGGGGAAAGAAGTAAATCAACACCTAAACTTCTATAGAAAATTAATGGAAAGTTATTGCTACTTGTTTGCTTTTGGGAGTAATTTGCATTTCAGCGAGGCAAAGTACAGTGTTTTCAGTGCATTTCTAGGCAGACAAGTGCTGTGAGCCATATCAAACCTCATTTATCTGGGGAGTTGCAAGAAAACAAATCTGAGCAAGGTCAGCTCAACTCAGCTCCAGTGGAAAACTCAAACATAGAGGGGGGGTTTCTGAATTGTTTCCCAAACACAATCCTTTTCAAATCCTTTCTTTTATGAACTGAAAGAGGAAAAACAATCCACTTTCTAAACCAGGGGAGTCCACAGAGTCAAACCATAAAACCAGGCAAACTCTGCAAAGCTGCGTCCGAGAAAAGTACCCATGTATAATCTTTGGACCTTGTTCGTGAGTGCCTGCATGATAGAAAATATGCTCACCTTTAAAGACAGTCTGCAGACTTGCTCCCCGTCTGCGAAAATGCCAATGGTTGGAGTGGATTGCCTTTTGCACTGTTTACCCTAGCCTTGCTTTGGAGGGCATCGTTGTGTTTACACATTGAAAAAGAGGAGGGGTTTGTACCAGAAAAGAATGAGTTCCTCTTGGAAAACCAGTTGCAATGTATCTTCAGCTGGTGTTTTGTTGAAATTTTTGGTTTGTCCTTTGGCAGCGGAGATCCCGAGATCCGCAGGGGAAGATTTCTGGCTGATTGGCTGAGTCAAGAAAGTAAAGACATGTTCAGTGACTGCCAACAACCTTTTTAAAAGAAAGAGAAAGGGGGAGACCTGGAGAATAAACATTTTAAAAGGGAACTAGAAATAGAAATCTGGTGGGTTGAGGGGGAGAATGGGAAAGTGAATGGGTGGAGGATGAGGGGAGTGAATGAGAAGATATGCACATATTCTGTCTTGGTAGACATTAACAAAACTCAGGCCTTATCTGCTTTGGAAAAAAATTGCACCTGCCAAACTAAAATGAGTTTTTAAAGTGATGTCATCTCAGTGGTTCAAGCTCCTGTCTGGATGCTCTGAATCCAGTTTAAGTATTTTGTCTATGCAATGGGGCAATGTCAACCTAATTTATGAAACTCCAGCGACGTGAGTACTGTAGCTGGAGTCGACGTCCCTTAGGTTGAGTTGCCGGAGAGTCTCCACTACAAGGTGTTGATGGGACAAACTCTCCTCTTGAGTTCCTTTAAGGTTCTTGTTTCAGAGGAGTACCTGAGTTAATGAAAGAGCAATGGGTGGTCAATTTAGTGATTCCCCTTTAAGTGTGGACAAGCTCCTACTTGGCTGCGGACACTCAGCCCCTCTGAAAATGAGGCCACCTGGCTTTGGAAGGAAATCGGTCATGAGGAAACATTAGGGATGTTAAAAATATGGGAACTGTGTAGCTACTAAAAATCTTAGGGGTTACACACATTGCAGAGCCTCAGCAAAACCTCCACGAGAGCAGGGCTTCCAGTCCCTGCCCATCTGGCTCCTGGGGAGGAGACTTTGCTGCCCTGACACAGTGAAGCCACCCCCACAGAACTGGCTGAGTTAACAGATAAGCCTCAGTTTATGGGTTAAACGGTTCGTCAGTTACACTCTATCATCCCTAGTAATCATGTTATGTTTCTGGAGTAGAAATTGTCTTTTTTCCTGGGACAGGAAACTAGTTTTTCCACGTTACAGCGCGGTCTCCAGGAGCTGGAGAAACAGGAAGGAATTGCCATCTTCATTTAAAACACAAAGTGCTGCCTGTTTGCTGAAGAAACTCAAACCAAAGATTTTCAAGACAAATGTAGACAGAATTCTGCTGTGAAAATGATCTTGCCCCAGCGTGCTTGATCAAAAGGGCCATCCTAATATTGATAAGGCATTTCCTCCTTCTGTGCATTTCAGCTCTCCCTTCTGCAAGGGTATTATCTGCCAGGAGAGGGAGGTATGGGATAGAGTATACTCCTTTCCCTTCTGCAAGGGTCTCTTCCTGGGCAGCTGACACATACATAGACTATCAACGGTGCAACCAGTCGAGCCTAATTCCTTTAAATAGAAATGTCTCATACAGACTGCAATGAGGCCAGGGGGGTGCGGGTAAAGGCCATAAGCATTGCATTTCACTGGCCAGGTCAGCTGGGCTTTTACTCTGTTCAAATGCAGAGCAGTGTGAGCCTAAGGCAGAGTTAGAGTAGGAAATGCAAAGGTGCCCAATTAAAAAATCTTCTCCACAAGCATGACTTCACCATGCTCCCAGCAGCAGGAGCAGGAGTGCCTGCGTTTGTATCCTGTCATGGCCAGGAATGGCATATGGCACCCCTGGGTGCCATTTCAGATTTTGGTGGGGGTAGGGGGGAAGGCGGGGAAACGGTGCACACTGATAGTGGGCAGGTATGGGGGGACAGACTGAGGACAGCAGCTTCTGCAGTGTTACTGAGCATGCTTAATACAAGTCAAGCAGCAAATGGAGGGGGGACCCTATCCACCCTCCCCCACAAACATCTTTTTCCAGGGGCTTCTGAGGAACTTACAAACTAGGGTGTGTTTTTTTTCCAGCAAATAATTTAGCAATTAGCTGACAGGAGCACTGTATCTAATTCTTATATAAAAGAAAGAAAATCAAATAAATATTAGACCCACTCAGTGCTAACACTAACATATTCTGACACCTTGTGGCAAGTCACTCACGGGACACTGGTTAGCCTTAACGTTGTAATGTTCATTCCTACTTTGTTACTAACTCTGCTGAGAGAGAGAAAGAGACTGTCGGGACTCCTGGCTCTCTCTCAGCTCTAGTGGGGTACAGCAGGGGGCAGATACAACTGGGTTGTATGTAAGACCATCAGAAAGGCCATAGTGGGTCAGACCAATGGCCCATCTAGCCCAGTGTCCTGTCCTCCAACAGTGGCCAATGCCCCAGAGGAAATGAACAGAACAGGGAATCATCAACTGATCCCACCCCTGGGACCCATTCCCAGCTTCTGGCAGACAGAGGCTACGGACACCATTCCTGCCCTGCCTGGCTAGTAGCCATTGATGGACCTTTCCTCCTTGAAATTATTTCATTCTTATTGGTACTCTGTTATAGTTTGGGCCTTTCCACCATCCTCTGGCAAAGAGTTCCACAGGTTGACAATGAAGAAATAATTTATTTTCTTTTACATTTGCTGCCTATACATATCATTAGGTGACCACCTTGTGTTACGAGAAACTTAAAAACAACAAATAGTCTGGTAGCACTTGAAAGACTAACAAAACATGTTGATGGCATCTTGAGCATTTACTATCTACATGTTTTGTTTGTCTTTAAAGTGCTACTAGACTGCTTGTTGTTGTTTAAGTTTTTCCTGTTACAGACTAACCCGGCTACCCCTCTGAAGCTTCTTGTGTTATGTTAGTGAAGGAGTAAATATAATTTCCTTAATTCTATTTTTCCACTCCATTCATCATTTTCTAGACATCTAACATATCCTTCCACCCTTTAGTCATTTCTTCTTCAAGCTGAAAAGTCCCAATCTTTTAAATCTCTCCTCATATGGAAGCTGTTCCTTACCCCTAATCATTTCTGTTGCTCTTCTGTGTACCTTTTCCCAATCTAATGTAGCCTTCTTTTTTTAGATCAGGTGACCAGCACTGTTTGCAGTATTCAAGATGTGGCATGCCATGACATTGTATAGAGTCTTTCTTATTATCTATCCCTTTCCTAATGATTCTCAATATTCTGTTAGCTTTTTAGACTCCCACTGCATATTGAGTGGATTTTTTTTCAGGAAACTATTCACAATCAGTCCAAGATCCCTTTCTTGAATGGTAACAGCTGATTTAGATCCCATCATTTTGCATGTATGGTTGGGATTATATTTCCCCCTGTGCATTACTTGGCATTTATCAACATTGAATTCCACCTGCCCTTGTGTTGCCCAATCACCCAGTTTTAAGAGATCCCTTTGTAACTCTTTGCAGTCAGCTTTGGACTTAACTATTTTGAGTCATTTTGAATCAGCTGCAAATGTTGCCACCTCTTCGTTTACCCCCTTTTCAAGATCACTTCTGAAGAGCACTGGTCCCAATACAGACCTCTGGCACACCACCATTTACTCCTACCCTTTGGTTCCTGTCTTTTAAGTAGAGTACCTGGCAATATTTTCATGATCATCTAACGATCCTGCAATTACTTGAATGACAACCCTTTTGCTACCTTTATTTATAAACAAATTCCCCACCCCAAAGGCAAAGCTGGGAGCCGCACAAGTTATGTTGCAGTTAAAAGCAGGGTTTGGACAATGTGTCCTCTAAACTTTGCCATCCATGTGCAGAATAAATATTTAAGTGCACCGAGGCATGTGTGACTGTGCACCACCAGCAGAAACAAAGAACCTAACTGTGGGCACTCTGCGAATCATCAGCATTGGAATCTCCCCTGAGTGGCCACACAAGTGCATGGCTTACAGGGAACACTGGGTCTGGGGATATGGCTGGGGCAGGCAAAATACAGCCTGCGGGCCAGATCTAGCTTGCCAAACAAATGCATCTATCCCACTGCCATCCCATGGCCCAGCGGGACCCTCAAGCAGGCTCTCTGCATGCCATTGTCCCTGGATGCCGCTCAAAGCTCTTGTGCATTGCACACCCCAAGGAAGGGCCTCCGTGTGCTGCCTGGGCCACAAGCATGGCCCAGGCAGCTCCCATGGGCCAGTTTCTGACCAATGGGAGCTGCGAGATTGTGCTGGGGCTGAGGGCAGCATGCAAAGCTCTCTGCTCCCCAGTATGTGGCACCCAGAGAGCACATGGCTCCTGCAGCCAGCTGCTTTGAGCGGCATACAGGGGCTGGCCGTCAGGGAGCCTTCAGAGGGCCTCTGAAGGGGAGGTGCCTAAGGTAAATGTGTCCCGGCCAGAGCCTGCACCTGGCACTCCACTCCCTCCCACATGGCACCCCCTTGTCCCAGGTTACAGCCCAAAGCCCTGCACCTACGCTCCTGCATCCTTAGCTCCTCCAGGTAGGAACGGAAGGACTCTGGGGAACTGAGACTAATTTTTCTTTAGGTTCTCCACATTGTAGCTTCTTCTGATCAGATAGTCCAGGAACTCCGGAGCCCAGTCCCGGATGAGGAGGGGGATTCTGGTGGCGGCGTATTTGTAGTACACTTCCCGTTGGCGGAGAGCTCCCCCCTTGATGATTTCCAGCGCACACTCCTCCTTCAGAGCCGGGGTCACCAGTACCACATCTGCAACTGCCGTGACGGCACTTTCTAGCACAGGAGAACGAAAGAACACTTGGTTAGGGTTGCAGTGCCAGTGAGCTCCGCACCTCCAGGGCCAGATAACCCCACCTTGGATTTGCTTATTTTAATTGTTTTTAAGCCAAGTACCATCAATTGAGCCGTGGGATATGAACAGGTAACCAGTTACCCAGTAAACATCACCTTTAACAGGTGATGCTTACTGGGTAATAGTTAACTGCTAAGTGGGAACAGCCCTCTGACCGCAACTTGCTGCAGGCAGAGGGTTGTTCCAGCCCGAGTGTAGTGGGCTAGAACGCCCCCATGCCTCAGATTAATCAGTTAACCAGTGAAACTTAATGTTTTACTGGTTAACTAATTTAAAAGAACTTTGCATCCCTAATTAAGCCCTGCGCGGCTTACTGAGCCTTGGAGAAAAGCACATAAAACCTTCCCTTGTTGTGTGTGATCTGCATCGGGGCAGCTCGAGAGGTCCCAGTCAAGACCAGAGAAGAGCTCCACCTGTTCCAAATCCTGCACAGATGCAGAGGTATTACAGTCCCTGCCCCGAAGAGTTTAGGATTTAAGCAGATGAGCAACGTAAGAGATAGGGAGAGGGAGTCACTGCAATGCCAGTGATTTTGGTAGACACCCGGCACCCGGCACCCTGTACAAACCAGGCAAAACAAAATCCAGGTTGACATTTCACCAGAAGAAGAGCTTTTGGCAAAATGTGGTAAATTTTGCTCTTCCCTCTTTCTAAGCCCTTCTCGTGTGTCTGCTTTCACTTGTTTTACATTCATGTTGTAATTACATCTGCCCCTAAATATACAGCAACAGCCTCCGCTGGGGTAAATTGGCGCCATTCCATTAGCGTTATGGGGCCTAAGCTGGTTTAGTCCATCTGATGCTGGACTAGCCAGGACCATCCTGAGGACTGATGGGACCCTACGCAGTGCTACTAAACTGGTGCCCTGTGCCCGACGGCAGCCTGGGGCGCAAGAAAGGATGGGGATTTTTAGTGATGAGTACATCTAGATGACTTTTTTTTCCAAAAGGAGATATGCAAATTAGCACTGAATTTGCATATCTTTTTCCAATCGCTTTTTCAACAGTGGGGTTTTCAAAAGTGAAAGTAGTCTGGGCATTTTTTTTTCTGAACGCCACTGGTGCCCTGTGCCCGACGGCAGCCTGGGGCGCAAGAAAGGATGGGGATTTTTAGTGATGAGTACATCTAGATGACTTTTTTTTCCAAAAGGAGATATGCAAATTAGCACTGAATTTGCATATCTTTTTCCAATCGCTTTTTCAACAGTGGGGTTTTCAAAAGTGAAAGTAGTCTGGGCATTTTTTTTTCTGAACGCC